AACCCAGGATAGCCAAAACAATCCTGTACAATAAAGGAACTTCTGGTGATATCACCATCCCTGACTTTAAGCTCTGTTGTAGAACTATAGTATAAAAACAGCTTGGTATTGGCATGAGAACAGACATGTGGACCAATGGAAGACCCTGACTGACTTTAACCCACACACCTATGAACACCTAATTTTTAACAAAGAAGCCAAAAGTGTACACTGAAAAAAAGGAAGCATCTTCAGCAAATGGTTCTGCCATACTGGATATTGACATGCAAATAAACTATTATTTGTGCCCTGCACAAAACTCAAGTCCAAATGGATCAAAGATCTCACCATGGATCCAGTTACACTGAACCTGATACAAGAGAAAGTGGGAGGTAGCCTTGAACACATTGGCACAGAAGACCCCTTCCTAAATAGAACTCTGGTAGCATAGACAATGAGATCAACAATTAATAAATGTGACCTCCTGAAACTGAAAAGCTTCTGTAAGACAAATATGACAAAACAGCAGCCTGCAGAATGAGAAAAGAACTTCACCGACCCCACATCTAATAGAGGGTCAGTCCCCAAAATAATAAAGAACTCAAGAAACTAGACATCAAAATACCAAATAATACAGTTTAACAATGGGGTGAGATCTAGACAGTATTCTCAACAGAAGAATCTGAACCGACTGAAAGACTTTTAAGGAATTGTTCAGCATCCTTAGGGAAATGCAAATCAGAACAACTCTGAGATACCATCTTATACCTGTGGGAATGGCTAAGATTAAAAAAAAACACAAAAAACAAAAACACTGATGACAGCTTATATTGGAGAGGATTTGGAGTAAGTGCAAACTGCAAGCCAGTGTGAGTGTTACAGCTGAGCTGCAAGGGCTCTGAAGCCCTGAGCTGCAGTGGAGGGAAAGGTATCCAGACTTGTCAGGAAATCACGCTAAACCTGGAGCTGCAATAGGACAGCTCTGGAGGCTGGAGCTGCACTAGGGTTGTCCTGAGGCTGGATAGGGTGTCCTGACTTATTGGAAAGTCAGGCTATACCTCAAGCTGGGGTGTGGTGGGGGATGGTCTCCCTGCAGGATGTAGTCATTCTGCTCCTCTCCTAGAGCCATTACAGCTGAACTCTGCTCGGTTCCCCTAAGGGAAGGTCCTAGCAGAGCTGTTTCTTCTTCTGCTGCCCCCAAGATGTTACTTCTTCAGCTCCACTCTAAAGTGGGAGCCCCTGCAGAAACGTAGCAATCTCCTGCTCCAGTGAAAAGTTACTTTTTCTGTTCAACTCCCAAGGGACTTTCCTAGCAGATGTAACTGTTTCTTCTGGCTTTACTGCTCAGCCCCTAAGGGAGTGTCTCAGCAGAGATTATTCTTTGTTTTTTCTGTTCACCCGCCTAAGGGGATGTCTCAGCAAAAGTTCTTTTCTGCACCAGGGAAAGAAGATTCTTCACCCAAAATTCTTTTAAGAAAGAGATTCATTTGGGAAGGAGGAGTCCAGGAGAGTGGCTGCCTCTGACAGGCTGGGAAAGGACAGCCAGCAACTGACAAGCAGTGGGGCTTATATAGGGCTCCTTAGGGACAGAGCTTTCCCAGGTAGAAAACTGGTTGGGGATTGGTTAGTTTTAGTTGGGCAGGGACAGAGTTGGTTCAGGGATTGGTTGGTTCCTTGCACAAGGATTGGTTGGTTTTCCTGTTCTGGAATTGGTTGGTTTCATGTTTTAGTTCGTCAGTGGCAGAGATGACTGATTTCAGGGCCAAACTATTTCTTTCACTGGTCTTTTCTTTAGTTTTTTGGCTCAGGAATTGGTTGGTTTCTTTGGCTGGCCCTTTTACCCTACACAAACTTGTACAGCCACTTTGGCAGTCAATATGGTGGTTTCTTAGAAAATCGGAACTCAGTCCACCTCAAGACCCAGCTATACCAATCTTGGGCATATACCTAAAGGATGCTCAATTATATCACCAGGTCACTTGCTCATGCTCATAGCAGCTTTATTCATAATAAATAGCCAGAACCTGAAAACAACCTAGATGCCTCTCAACCAAAGAATGGATAAGGAAAATGTGGTACATTTACACAATGGAGTACTACTCAGTGGTTAAAAAAACAACAACCTCATGAAATTTGCAGGCAAATGGATGGAACTAGAAAAAATCATTCTGAGTGAAGTAACCCAGACCTGGAAAGGCAATCATGATATGTACTCATAAGTAGATATTAGGAGTAAAGTATAGGATACCAACCTACAATCCACAGCCCCAGAGAGGTTAGATAATGAGGAGGGCCCAAAGAGGGATGCATGGATTTCCCTGGGAAGGGGAAAAAGAAGAGATCTCCTATGTAAACTGAGGGTGGGGAAGGAGGGGATGGAGGGATGGGTACTTGAGGGACTGGGCTGGACAGGCTGGGCACATGTTGGAGGCTGGACCAAGGTGAAGAGTAATGAAAGAGACTTCTTGATTGGAGGGGGCATTTTGAGGTTAGGGAGAAACCTGGTACCAGGGAAACTCCCAGGAATCCATAAGGATAACCCCAGATAAGATTCCTAGCAATAGTGAAGAGGGCGCCTGAACTGGCCATCTACTGTAATCAGATTGGTAACTACCCTAATTGTCATCTGAGATACTCTATCAAGTAACTGATGGAAGCAGATGCAGAGATCCATAGCCAAGCCCTGGGCTGAGCTCCAGTAGGTAGTCTAGTGGAAGAAAGGGAGGAGGGATTGTACGAGCCAGGGGATCAATCATTACTGGGGAACCCACAGAGACAGCTGACTGAGCTCATGGAAGCTCATTCACTCTGGACCAACAGTTAGGAGCCTCTATGGAACGGACCTAGACCTTCTGCAGTTGTGTAGCTTGGTGTGTTTATAAGGCTCCAGGCAGTGAGATCAGGGCCTCTCCCTGGCACTTAGCTGGTTTTTGGGAACCTGCTGCCCATGCTGGATTACCCTTGTCTAGCCTTGACACAAGGGGAGGAACTGGATCCTGCCTCAACTTGATGTGCCATGCTTTGTTCAAGCCCAGGGAGGCCTGCCCTTTCTGAATGGGGATGGAGGAGGAGTGGAATGGGAGGGAGTAGATGAGAAAGAGGGGTGGGGGATGGGGGGGTGGGAGAGGAGGGAGGGGAGGGTGTGTAAAACAAATGAAGAAAAATATTTAAATAAAATAAAATAAAGAATAAAGAAAAATAGCCAAGTTCATGTCTTTCAGCTGTGGGCTCCTTTAAAAATCAAAATTAAATACCTTCTTAAGGAGGGAAGACCGGGGTACAAAATTAAATACCTTCTTAAGGAGGGAAGACCGGGTACAAAATTAAATACCTTCTTAAGGAGGGAAGACCGGGTACAAAATTAAATACCTTCTTAAGGAGGGAAGACCGGGTACAAAATTAAATACCTTCTTAAGGAGGGAAGACCGGGTACAAAATTAAATACCTTCTTAAGGAGGGAAGACCGGGTACAAAATTAAATACCTTCTTAAGGAGGGAAGACCGGGTACAAAATTAAATGCCTTCTTAAGGAGGGAAGACCGGGTACAAAATTAAATGCCTTCTTAAGGAGGGAAGACCGGGTACAAAATTAAATACCTTCTTAAGGAGGGAAGACCGGGTACAAAATTAAATACCTTCTTAAGGAGGGAAGACCGGGGTACTATCACAGCCTCAACCAAGCAAAAGCAAACTCCGGCAGCACAAGCAATTCAATGCCCAATGTCTGGGATCCATTCATGATCTGGGCTCCTCCAAAGGGCTTGGGTCTCTTCTCCAGCGCTGCCCTCTGCAGCACCGTTTGTCTTCCAGGCTCTGGCTGGCTCCACTCCACCGCTGCTGCCATTCTCGGTGCTCATCCGAAATGCCTGGGTCCCCTGTTGCAACTGGGCTGCACTTCCACCAATAGCCCCCATAGGTGTCAAGCCTCAACTTCTTTCCTGATCCCTTCAGTCCTGGGCCTTCAACTGCCACTGAGGCTGCCGCTTCGCCAATGGCCCTTTCTAGACCCTCACATTGCCAAGCCTCAGCTGCTCTCCATGACCCCTTCATGCGTTCCAAACCAATACCACCCTGGAGACTCTCACACACTAACAAGTCTGGCTGCCAGCATGAGGTACAACCTTAGCCACCTCTAGAGCATAGCTTCTCTGTCTCAGGAAACACTTCTGGAAGATTTCACCTCAGTGATGCTAATATCTTAGCTCCTGCTGACCAACATCAAGTCTCCCAGCAGAGTTTTGATTTTGTAGTTCTGGTATCTTGAATCACAGGTGATCCTTCAGCACCAGCTATCCAGAACCAAAACAGCAAATGGCCCTGCTAGAGTCTTTAATCTTCCCTCTGAAACGTCACAAGCCAGGCCTCCATCTTCTGCACGTCTCTCAGCATTATCTTCCAAGTTCCACTGAACAACCCACAGAGCTCTTAACACTCAATGGCTCTTCTAGCCCAAAGTTCCCAAGTCCTTCACAATCCTCCCCAAAACACGATCAGGTCTGTCGCAGCAATGCCCTACTTCTGGTACCAATTTGTCTTCCTTAGGGTTTCTATTGCTGTGATGAAACACCATGACCAAAACACAAGTTGGGAAGGGTTTATTAGGCTTATGCTACAGCATTTCTGTTCACCACCGAAGGAAGACAGGACAGGAACTCAAACAGGGCAGGATCCTGGAGGCAGGAGCTGATGCAGAGGCCGTGGAGGGTGCTGCTCACTGGCTTGCTTCCCCTGGCTTGCTCAGCCTGCTCTCTTATAGAACCCAGGACCACCAGCCCACAGATGGCACCACCCACCATGGACTGGGCGTCCCACATTGATCACTAAATGAGAAAATGCCCAACAGATGCATTTCCTCATGGAGGCATTTCCTCAGCTGGGGCTCCTTCCTCTGATGACTCTAGCTTGTGTCAAGTTGACACACAAAACCAGCCAGTACAGTTGCCTTCGTAGATCTTAGTAAATTTGCAGCTGCCTGAGAACTGCGTAACTACGTGAGCTGTAACTTGCTGTCGTTTTCACAGAATGGCTACACACCGCTTATACTCGCCGTGCTAGAAAACAAGCAGGAAATGGTGGAGCTGCTGTTACAGGCTGCGGCCAATATCAATGCCCTGGATAACTGCAAGAGGTACCATTAAAGCTCTTTTAAATCCTCCCAACATTCTAGAGTGGTTACGGTCACTTAAAACCTCACTAGGAAATTCATAAGAATGTAACTTATGCTCATAGGAAACGTGTTGAAACTAATTAACAGGTCAGTAGAAATTAACTCTTCCACTTAGTCACACACAAGGGTATAGCAGGGCTCACATCTCCTTTTAATATTGACTGGTCTTTGTTACTTTGAGTTGATTTTTTAGTCATATGATTTTATATTAACTAAAATAGTTTCATATTAGTCTTATTTTTAGATGTGTAGACTGCTAGTTTAAGATTCCAATGAAACTCTTAACAATTTTACAACATTCCGCACCTCTGTGTCTTGTATACATTTCCTCTAAAACGCTCTGTTAATGAGAAGTACTTTTGAAGACCGTGTTTTATCTTTGACAGCTCTCTGCTTTCGTTGCTTTGTTTGAAGGATATCAATGTCAGGACACCACTAAATGACCGTGTATCATTAGAGATTGCTCAGTGTCTCCAGACCTTAGACCTTTTGTGGGTTATGGTCATGTGTTCAGCTATTCACCAGTCTGACCAAATACATAAAAGAAACCATTTGATGGGGGAAATGTGTTTGCTTCAGTTTCACAGGCTCAGATCCACGTGGGCTAGGCTTATCTTGGAGTCAGAGGGAAGGTGGACTATGACAGGAAGTGGGCACAGGAGGCAGGAGGGGGTCTCAACTCCTTGAAGCCATGATGCAGAAAAACAGAAGGTTCCCACCATTCAAAGGACACTCCCTAGTGACCCAGGTCCCACATACTAATTGACAAGTTATCTATGATCTCATGTATGAATGAATATACTGATGACATTAGCACCCATGTGATCCAGTCACCTCAGTGGTACCACTCACTCAATGCTTAAAACCATAAAAGATGTCTATTTGTTGAACTGGTATGTACAGAGGAACTAATCTAACTTCAACTGGATAAACTTGAATTAGTGAAAGTAAGCTTTAGGAGACTGGTAAAAAGATGGCTTATTTCCTTCACACAAGAATAGGTTTATTTGTGCCTTTCTGATTCATTCATGACCTCAGGAATATTATTTATCACCATATATATTTTCTGATATGAACATAAGGATAATATTCCTTTTATCACTTAAGAATATTTGCATTATTTGTATGTATGAATGTTTTATTTGTATGTATGTATGATGTATGTATGTATATGCACCATTTGTCTGGCACTTATGGAGACAAAAAGGAATTGGGGTCACAGACAGTTGTGAACCACCTGACATGGGTACTAGGAACTGAAACTGGGTCTTCCCTACAAGAGCATTAAGTGCTCTCAATTACTGAGATATCTCTCCAGTCTGCCAAAATAAGGATAATGTTCTTGAAGAGTGGTTTTCAGATCACATACATAGCATTTATGTCAGCATCTAGCACAAGGCAGTCAGTCTCATTAATAAATCACTGTTACTAATGTTCTGTCTGCATGTGTGTCTGCGCACCACATGCATCTCTGGTACCCAAGGAAGTCGGAAGAGGGCGGCAGATCCTCTGGAGCTGGAGTTACATGTGATCCACCATATGGGTGCTGAGAACCCAGGTCCTATGAAAGAATAACAAGTGCTCTTAACTGCTGAGTTATTTCTCCAACCTGCTATTACCTTTACTACTAATATTTTTATTAATAACATTTGAAATAATACAAACCATGTTGGTCACCAAGTGAAGGCAGGTCTAAAGGAGTCCATAAATACACAGATAAAGAAATAGCAGATGTTTATTAGGGGGCACTCACACAATGATGGTCAATAACCCCCATGGTCTTCCTGCTCCTGAAAAAGAAGTCTCTGCCCTTCAGGGTGCTCTGACCACAACCCAAAAGAGAGCAATCCGGCCCCTCTTCTTCCTTATAAGGGGTCATGTCCACACACCCTAAGTCCACTGGCAGAACAACATGCCACTGCAAATAACTTTTCCTTATTTGACCTGTTGTTGCCTATGATTTACAGTATGTTACATCAGGCTAGGGAAGTAATGGAGACTGCTTCTTTTAATTTTTGTGCACTTCAGGTAACTGATGTAGGAACAGTGCTGTCCGTTGCATGGTGTGGGGGTTCTTTTTTTTTATTAATTTTTTTTATTTTCCATTTTAAATTTAGATAAGAAACAAGGTTGCTTCACAAGTCAGTACGAGGTCCCTCTCCCTTTCCCTCCCCTCCTCCCGTGCCCTCCCCCCATCCCCCCCGTTATCCCCTCATTCCCCCAGGGAGGGTGAGGCCCTCCATGGGGGTGTCCATAGTCTGTCATTTCATATAGGGCAGGGCCTAGACCCTTCCCCAAGAGTTCAGGGTGAGAGTGCACCTCACATTGTTCTATGGGAGTCCAGAGACCGTGTGTATACTTGGGATGGGTACTGATCTGCTGTCCAAGGCTCAATAGATTACCTAGGCCTCCTCACTGACACCCGAATTCAGGGGGTCTTGATCAGTCCCATGCTGGATTCCCAGGCTGATGCCTGGGATTCAAGAGTTAACCTTTGTCTGGTCAGCTGTTTCTGGGGGTTCAACCAGCCCAGTCTTAATCCCTTTGATCATCAGTCCTCCCTCTCTGATACTGGCTTTCTTGAGTTCAGCTCAGTACTTAACCAGCCAGTAAATGAAGTTTCTGTTTCCCAGACTCTCTGGCAATAGGATTGTAGGCTGGCACTCCCCAGATCTATGTCTAAAATCCATATATGAGAGGTGTGGGGGTTCTTATGAGTAGTTCTGCAGTGGCACAGGAGGGCTCTGGGTTCTTGCCTTTCAGCATTAGAGGTAACAGATCAGTGAATGACATTCCCCCCAGCGCCTCTGTCTGTTCCTAACTGCTGATGGCCACTCTAACACACAGGCAAGAGAGAAACTTTTTTTTTTTTTTTTTTTTTTGGTTTTTCGAGACAGGGTTTCTCTGTATTGTCTTGGAAGCTGTCCTGGAACTCGCTTTGTAGACCAGGCTGGCCTCGAACTCACAGAGATCCACCTGCCTCTGCCTCCCGAGTACTGGGATTAAAGGCATGCGCCACCAAGGCCCGGCCAAGAGAGAAACTTGAATAGTTGTTTACATGACTTTATTAAAGTGTGTCAGGAAGCCCTGTGTGGTGATACTTAACTGGTTTACATAGTGAGTACCAGGACAGCAAGGGCTATGTAGAGAGATCCTGTCTCAAAAATACAAATACAATACAGTGTGTCAGGGTGACATTACATTTGTTCTTTTAGGTCTGCCCTCATACATGCTATGAGAGCTCAGTCTAAAAATATCATCAGCCTTCTTCTCCAGCAAGGTGCTGATGCATCTTTGATGGATGTCTACGGAGCAACCGCACAAAGTCACACTGGTTTTGAAGCCTTTCAAGAGTAAGTTTTTATATTACAATACTGATTGACATCACACTGATATTTTAGTTGTTATAACCACCCCATGCTTATATAACCAATGAGATTTCACAGTCCAGTCTGTAAAATTTTGGAATGGTCATGAGTTGACTTCACAGACCAGGAACCAAGTGCAACACTGGACTAGGTTGGAGTAGTGAGAGACAGAGGACTTTTACTTTGGCAGTGCTCTTGATTAAACTGGGATTCCCATATGCTAGCTATGGTCTACCACTGAGATGCACTCCCAGCCCCTATCTCAGGAATGCTAAGTCCTTTGTCTTAGATCAGGGCACCACTCTTTCATTCCAATTATAAGACCCACAAAGGAGATATAAATAGTAAGTTGTCTAATTGGCTGTTTGGGTTTTTTAATGTCAAATTTAGCAGAAAATGTGGTTATTTTCTCATGAGTTCTCTCCCTCAACATAGTTTTTTATTATTTTTTATTTATTTTTATGTGTATGGGTATTTTGCCTGCATGTATGTCTAAGAATCTCTTGCATAACTGATGTCTACAGAGGCCAGAAGAGGGTGTCAGATCATCTGGCTCTGGAGTTACATACAGCTGTGGGCTGCCAGCTGACTGTTAGATTAAATGTGGATCCTCTGCAAGAGCAGCTAGTGTTATTAACCACTGAGCCAGCTCTCCAGTCCCCAGCTTTTATAGTTTTTAATGTTTAATTCTTTTTTTCTGGGGAGAGATGCCCAACAACAATGTCCAGACTTCCCTTTGAGTCATGTCCATCAGATTCTGACTACCATCTTCAAGGGTTTTCTCAGCTGAGTTGATTCAGGTAGCAAAAGCTCATTCAAAGAGGACATTTGTGCACATAAATTACCCCCAGGTCCTTGTCCTGCATTGGTTGTCATTTGTAGCTGTGGTATCTGAGGAAGAATGTCCCTCGAACATTTCTTGGGCTGAGGGAAATAGAAGCAGAAAGAGGAAACTGAAAGCTCGATTGTTTCAGAAGTTGACATAGAAACAAAGAAAAGCTGCCATGTAGCTGGCTATGGTAGTGCATGCCTTTAATCTCCCAGCACTCAGGGGGCAGAAGCAGGTGGGTCTCTGTGAATTTGGGGCCAGCCTGGCCCACATAGTGAGTTCCAGGTCAGCCAAGTATATATAGTTAGATTCTGTCTCAAGAAAGAAAGATTCTGTCGAAAGAAAGAAAGAGATAAAGAAGAAAGAAAAGAAAAGAAGCTGAGAGCTGACTCAGAAGTTTAGAATGCATCCTGAGAGCTGGCTCGACAGTTAAGAATGAATCCTGTGAGATGATTTGGCAGTTAAAAGCACATCCTGCTCTTGCTTACAACAACTGTAATCCTAGTTCCAGGGGCTCCGATCGCATTGTTGGGCCTTTATGGTCACTTAAGGCTCACATCATGTATCCCCCTGCAACATAATTTAAAACTTAAATTTAAAAATATTTTTAAATGCCATTTAAAATCTAGGTGACAGTCAGGTGGTGGTGGCAGCACACACCTGTAATCCAAGCACTCGGGAGGTAGAGTCAGAAGGATCTCAGTGTTTAAGACCAACCTGGTCTGTAGAGTGAGTTCCCAGACAGCCAGGAATACACAGAGAAAGCCTGTCTCAAATAAACCAAACCAAAACAAAACAAAACAAAAATTAGATGGCTTACTTTTCTTAGGATTTTGACAAAATCAAGCTCACTTCTCACTGTAGTTTTTACTCTTCAGGCTTTCCAAAGGCTCCGTTTCCAAGCATCTTGAGCCTACAACAGGAGAGGACGGACATAATTTTGGTATCAAGGTAAAAAGTTCATTTGTGATGCTGACTTTTGTAAATGAGATCTTACAGTGAGTGGCCCCCAAGTGTGACCTGGGCAGGATTAGACAGACACTGGTAAGAAAACACCCTAAGTCACAACATCAAGGGACCTACTGAATGAGGTCACAGGGAGTTGAGAAATATACTTTGTCTGTAAAGGTGGTTCATGAAACTGTGAGATTCTCAGAGTTTCAGGTTAACAGCTAGAGTTTGGTAAGGGTAACCTGGAAACTCACATTTTTTTTTAGTTTAAGCTTGGTTCATTGTTGTTTTAACATTAATATTTGAAGTCTCTGTACAAAATCTTTGTCCCTCTATAAACATTCTTCACACTGTTGGAAGGCTTGGGTCAGTTGTCTGCCATTTCATGGGGTTCCAGACCAGGATTTCCTTTACTCTGTTGTTGTATCCTGCCTGAATGTAAGGATTGTATATGAAGCTTCTTCTCTGCTAAGTAGGGATGCAAGCCCTGTCCACCCAGGGACTCAGAAATCTTTAACTTGAGGATGTAATAGAGCAACATGAAGGTTGTGAATTGGGTGGGGAGAATGTTCTTATTCAGGACATCAAAGTATGCTGTGCCTGGGCCCAAGATCAAGGCCAAAGGTAACAAGTATGAGGTACCTGATTTCCATGAAGGGTTAATAGGAAACCATACTTTGACTTAGATTTAATTTGGGTATGTGAATCACCGAGGACCAAGGATGTCTTGCCCAAGTAGTCAGGAATGGATGCACAGCACTCTAATAATGGTAGAAACTGTCTTACATACTTCTCTTAGAATCCCAAGAACTTTCTGGAATGAGACCTGTAGATTGAAGTTTCTGTCCTGTCTGGTCCTGCAGCCCTTTAGTCCCAAATAAACGCACAGGCTTATATTAAATATATACTGTCTGGCCTATTGCTCAGTTTTATTACTAACAAGCGCTTACAACTTAAATTAACCCATAATTCTTATCTATATTTAGCCCCGTGACTTGGTACCTTTTCTCAGTAAGGCATTCTCATCTCACTTCCTCTCCTTCTGGCTGGCGACTACTCTCTGCCTTTCCTCTTCCCAGAATTCTTCTCGTCTGGTAACCCTGCCTATATTTTCTGCCTAGCTACTGGCCAATCAGTGTTTTATTATTAAACCAATACAAGTGACAAATCTTTACAGTATACAAGAGCATGGTCCCACATCAGAGATTTGTGAAAATATATATTAATGCTTATATCCTAACAGTGTGGCTGAGCAAACAGAATTCCAAGAAGTAATCTAGTGCCAGAATAAATGAAAAGGAAACAACAGTGAGGTTGTAATCATTGCATCTGATTTTACTCCAAGTTTCTTCCAATGAGCAATTTAAACCATAGTGAGGTCATAACTATGAAGAGTCACAGCTGTACTTGTTTTTCTTGTTTTAGACTTTGCAGTCTTACGTTTTGCTGGTAACTGGCATTGCCCTTAGGTGGCTCTTGAGACTCTGAGACTCAGAGGGGGTAGACTTTATTCTAGAATAAGAGTACACTAACTGGAGAGAATAGGCCACTGTGTACCCTTACCGTGTCAGCAGACATCTATATTCTTGACATGGATGCATCTGAGTAAAATCTAATTGCATTCTTTCTGGGAACATCTCTCCACAGTGATTGAAGTGTGCATGCTATAGCAGAGACTGAGCAGTGGGTTCACATGAGGTTTGGGGAGGGTTAGCTCCCCCCCACAAGTCATTAATGAGAGGAATCGCTAAAGTTCTCAAGTATCACAAATTGTGAAGCCTTAATTTTTCCATTGGCCTTCATGAGACGACAGGATCTTGTTTTTCTCTTGAGTTCCCCTGCCATTTTTATCTGTATCCTTGGGTGACCCATTCACTCTCTGCTTCTGAATTAGAATGATTACATCTAATTCTTACAGAGATAGCAGAGCCCTTTCTTTATCTTCATCTATGTGTCTGGTAATGTCCCATAACTTAAGAGAGAGTCCAGATGTAACAACTTATCATTAGTCCATGTTTAGTGCAATTCCCAAAGCTGGCACTGACAGTACCAATTCCTTTAGCTTTGGAGATTTCCGTCAACATAAATTTCTACACAAGTTTGTTTAATAAGGAGTCCTGGATTATTAGTGAAGACAAGGAATGAAATAAACACATTGAAAAGAAAACTGGCATTTTCCCTTGTCATGTCAAGAATTATCCCAAGACCCTCAGTGGTCACTTGCAGTCATTCAAAAATGACTGTCACCAGTCTTTCAAAAACTATTTCTTAAGTTGATCATCCTTATCAATGTTAAAGTATGTAATTTCAGATTATTTATTTTGAGGCACTACATCATCAATAAATAGATAACAAACCAAGGAAACACTGTAAATAGGAAAGAAGGCTTTTGAAAAGAAGGAATTTAGATTAGCATTTCTTAAACTTTCTAAATGGAGCCTTCTGTTCATTCAGTACATCCTTTCAGTCTGAAAATTCTGATTGCCGGTTTTCGTTTTTTGTTTTTTTGTTTTTGTTTTGTTCAACTGGAGTGCGGAGGTGCTGTTTTTTCCCTAACTTGTGTTTTTATTAGAAATGTCACAGTTTTCAGGTAATTATAGATACCTTTGATTGGCTAACAGAATTACTTCTTTTTACCAATAAAATGAATGTTGTTATTATGTGGTGATTATGAAAAAGTTAAGTATAAGAAAGGTATAGGTATTGTTAGCAGTATACTAACCAAGGGAAGATATTATTAAAAGACAACCATCTAGATTTCCCCAAGAAGAAATTCACGTAAATTTATCCATTCAAACACATGACAACATCTAACAATCAAACAAGTAGATTTCCCCAGTGTCCCACTAGGAGAATGGGTGCCAGGTATTGACAGCAGGGGCCCTGACACCTTAAATGCAATTGAATTAAATGAGTATTTTCCATAACTTCAAGAGATTGTTGACATGATTGGAAAGGTCTTCATGGTGTTTCTGAAACTTGGCTTCCTTAACTCTAGACATTTGCCACCAAGCATGGGGCAGAAGAGACAGGGAGTCTTGAGATGTGAGTTGGAATGGTAGGTGCTTTGGACCATTAGGGACCACAAGAACCAAACCCTGGAGAAGCTACTAGCTGGCTCCTCTAACTAATGGCCTGTTAAAGCACATGGGCCAACGTGGTTGTCTCATCCAGGAGGAAACACTCTAGAGGCCAGGCTACTACCACCATGGGCCAGTGTGTTACCAAGTGCAAGCATCTTTCAGTCCTGGGCAGCGAGCTGCAACAGACAAGGGGACAGCCACCCCTGAGGAATAGGTGTAGTGACCATGCAGGGATATCCTTGTCAACAGGACCTACGAGGAAAAAGCTGCCCCTGAGGCTTGCCAGTTGCTTTCCTGTTGACTAGATATGAACTTAAAATGGTTTACCCCTGCACAATGCACGGTTTTGTAATGTTCTCAATCACTTTGGGACAGAAACTGAGCAAGCCTGCTCTAGCACTGAAGAGCTAGCTTACGACTTCAATAAACACTCCATGTAAACACTAGGGTTTTGGCCTTTAGAATCAAAGAGCCCCAGCTCAGCCAGCACCTCTTATAAATGGAAACAAGTGTCATGATAAATGTAATAGATGTAATAGGAGCAAAGGGTCCAGAAACAGGGGAGCCATGGAAGGATTTTGGGGGAGCCTGTGTAGTGGCACTAGTCAGTCAGGGGGGCTTTCACAGTAGGGCACCATCTGGAGGGAGGAGGGACCACAGGAGGGACCTGTGTCCTATGCTCCAGCCACAGGTCCATTAATAAGATGCCAGTGCAGTTGGGAAATATGTAATTTGTTGAGTTCTTGGCCTTTTTTCTTTTGTAACAGGATGACTGCACACCATGTACATACCCCACCCAGGACAGCAAGGAAAGGATGGCACAATTGCCAGCAAAGGAAGAGGAAAACACAGACGCAGCTGACAAGCTGGGGAGGTACAGCTGCTTGCACATTCCCTTAGTTAAAACAAGCTCAAGGGTGTTGTTATGGGATGGCTGCAGTAGTTCAGTAACATTAAACTTGTAAGAAGAAACTAATTTGCAAGTATTGGTAGTTATTGAAAATCATGACAACAAAACAAAGGTTAATTATAGCAGCAATTATATGAGTGGGCAAGACAAGACAACAAAGTACTGTAATTTATGTTCCCTTAAAACTGCCTGATATTTACCATTTGCAGCCTGACTGTTCATATGAGCTTAGACCAGTGAAAAGGGATCCCAAGGGCTGCTTTCCTTTTTCCTTCTGAAGTGTGTTTATGGGGAGAAAATCATTTTACTGGATAAAAAAATCATAGGTGTGTGAAAAAGTCATAGGTGTGTGAAAAAAAAAGTCATAGGAAGTCCGATATAGAGGGAAATGCTGAGAGACCAGAGAGAAGGAGCAAGCCACAGCACACCTTACCTCCTTAGCCCAGTCACCTCGCTTCCTGTCTTTCTGTACAGACCTCCAGACCTCTATGGTTAGCTAATGGCAAACTCTATCCTCTGACCCTCAGACAGGCTTTATTTGTCCAAGCAAGATATCACCACAGTATGCGATTTTTGAAAAAGTCCTATGTGTGTGATAAAAGAGAGAATTAGTTTAGTTCCTAGCTTTTGCTGGGTGTGTGACTTGGGACCATTCATGACGGTATTCTCTGACATGAGGAGTGTGGAGCATGCTAGAGGTGGCTGCAAGACACCATCACTTCACTCAGTGCTGCTTTCAGACTGTCAGTGTCATTCATTTAGCTACTCTGCTATTGCTATTAGTGGTTTTTTGCAAATATATTTTACTTTTTGTCCTTTACCTGACCTCCAGTACATTCCATGATACAGAACTCTCCACTGGCCTTCATTCCCATACCCATGACCCATGTAGAGAACTCGTAAGCATAATGGTCATGCTATGACTGTTCTATCCAACTTAGACACACACAAAATCCACAGCAATCACTTATAGAATAGTTTTAGCAGAGTTACTATCCATGGAAAGCTTTTTGATTAATACAAAGTAAATTGTAATTCCACAGTGTGCTAAGAGACTTTCTCTTTTATCTGTCTCTGTTCATAGCTCTGAAGATAATTTGTGAAAATGAATACTTAAGCTCCAAAGTTATTATGTTCCTATATGCAAATTTCCAGTTCTACTGGGACAGCTAAGATACCAAATAAACCAAAATATGCTACCACATGAACAGACTGAAAGACAAAAGCCACATGTTCATCCTATTAGGTACAGAAAAGGTCTTTGACAAAATCTAGTGCCCCTTCATGATAAAAGTCCTGGAGACACTAGAGATACAGAGGGCATATCTTAGCATAATAAAGACAATTACAATCCCACAGCCAACATTAACCTAAATGGAGAGAAACTCCAAATATTTACACCAAAATTAGGAACAAAGCAAGGTTCTCCTCTGTCTCCATACCCCTTCAATATAGTGCTTGAGGTCTTAGGGCAACCAGACAACTTATGGAGACCAAGGGAATGAGACTAGGAAAGGAAGAAGCCCAAGTATCCTTATTGCAGCTAATATGACTTTGTACTTAAAAGAGCCTACAGTTTCATCAGGAAATTTCTACAGCTGATAAACACTTTCAGCAAAGTGGTTAGATACAAAATTAGCACACACAAAAAATCAGTAGCCTTCTATTTTAGATATGGTTTCTATTGCTGCGAGGAAATACCATGACCATAAAGCAACTTGGGGAAGAAAGGGTTTATCTAGCTTACACTTCCACATTGCTGTTTATCACTGAAGGAAGTCAGGACAACAACTCACACAGGGCTGGAACCTGGAGGCTGGAGCTAATGCAGAGGCCAAGGAGTGGTGCTGCTTACTGGCCTGCTCAGTCTGCTTTCTTATATAATTCAGGACCACCAGCCCAGAGGTGGCATCCCCCAACATGGCCTGGGCCTCCCCCATTAATCACTAATTAAGAAAATGCCCCACAGCCAGATCTTATGGAGGTGTTTTCTCAATCAAGGTTCCTTCCTTTCAGATAACTTTAGTTTGTGTGTCAAGTTGACAGCAGACTAGCTGACGTAGCTTCCTATATACAAATGACAAAGAAAGAAATTAGAAACAGTGCCTTTACTAATAGCCTCAAAAATATCTTGGGCAACTCTAACCATGCAAGTGAAAGACTTGTATAATAAAAACTTTAAGACACTGAAGAAATTGAAGAAGACATCAGAAGATGGGAAAGTCTCCCATGCTCATGGATCAGTAAAATTAATAAAATGAAAATAGCCATCCTACCAAAAGCAATCTATAGATTCAACACAATCCCCATCAAAATTATAACACAGTTCTTCACAGAAACTGAAAAAACCCAGTTGCCAGCTTCATATGACAACACACACACACACACACACACACACACACACACACACACACACACGGGATTGCTAAAAAATAGTAAAAGAACTGCTGGAGGTATCACCATTCCAGACTTCAAGTTGTACTATAGACATAGTAACACAAAGTAGCATGGTATTTGCATTAAAACAGACATGTTGATCAATGAAATTGAATCAAGGAACCAGACATAAGTTCACTCACCTGAATTTTGCCAAAAATACACACTGGGGAAAAGACAGCATCTTCAACAAATGGTGCTGATCAAACTGAACAGCTGCATGTAGAATAATACAACTAGATATTCATCATCCTGCACAAAACTCCAAATGGATCAAGGACTTCAACATAAGTCCAGACACATGAATCTTGTAGGAGAGAAAGTAGGAAATAGTCTTGAGCTCATGGGTACAGGAAAAGCCTTCTTGAACAGAATGCTGATATCACAGGCCCTGAGAGCAACAATTAATAAATGGGACCTCATGAAACTGAAAAGCTTCTGTAAGGCAAAGGACACCATAGTTCACACAAAGCGGGAAACTAAAGGATGGGAGAAAATCTCTACCAATTACATGTCTGATGCAGGGCTAATATCTAAAATATATAAAGTACTAAAAACAAAACCCTTTGGCATCAAGAAAACAAATAACCCAATTTAAAAATGGGATACAGAGCAAAGCAGAGTGTTCTCAAAAGATGAAACACAAACGACTGAGAAACATTTAAAGAATGTTGAACATCCATAGTCATTAGGAAAATACAAATTAAAACTATTTTGAGATTTCATCTTACATCAATCAGAATGGCTAAGATCAATAAAACAAATGACAGCTCATCCTGGCAAGGATGTGGGGGAAGGGAAACATTTATTTATTTTTGGTGGGAGTGAAAACTTATACTGCCGCTATGGAAACCAATGTGGCAGATTCTCAGGAAGCGGGGAATAGATCTGCCTCAAGATTCAGGTGTACCACTCTTGAGCACATACCCAAAGGACTCAGCATCCTACTCTACAGATACTTGCTCATCCGTGTTCATTGCTGTTATATTTGCAACAGCCAGGAAATGGAAACAACTCAAACATCCTTCAACCAACAAATGAACAATGAAAATGTGGTACATACTATGGAATACTACACAGCTGAAAATAAGGAATTGTGAACTTTGCAGGTAAGTGGATGGAGCTAAGAAATATCATATTGAGGGGGTAACTAGACCCAGAGAGATAAATGCCATGTGTTCTCTAATTGAAGGCTCCTAGCCTGTGGTAACTACAGAAACAAGGATAGTAAAACAGGACCATTTCCAGGAAGAGGGTTTTGGAAACAAGAGAGAAAGAGGAATGTGGGGTTCAAATGATCTGACAGAGGAAAGGGGAAAAGAGGATCTTCTGGGGGGAGGAAGGTGATAAATAAAGGAGGCTAAAAAGTCACAAGGAATGATACTACTATTCATAATTTACCAAGAAAATCTACGTTACATATAATTCAGTGCATAAACATACATATGTAGTTTTAAAGAACTTCTCTTATCTGGATTGATAATGCACCCTCCAAGAGCCAATGTCCACCAACCAAAACCCCAGCACCAGACATGAGAACCCCTTTTTTGAGTTGTTATCCAAGGATGTCCAAGAAATTCCTAAAAGATACATTTTGTTTCTGTTGTCCCTGGTTGTTCCCCAAAGGTAGCAGGTAAGTCCCTATTGCTGAAGACACCATGTTCAGAGACCTTTGAGCTAGAACTGACCCAAAGCCTCCTCCCTAGCAATAGCTTTCACAAAGCCAGAAGGCATTATGCAAGCTTCCACAGAAGAGAAACAACAAACAGTCCTACCCAGCTATTGATGCCTGTGAATCATACCAATGGCAAGAATGGTGTAATAACCTTAGGAGTGCAGTGGTGGCAACCCACAGCTCAACAAGAGGGAAATCATGCCTGGTACTGGAAACCTAGTCAACTGCTAAATGCTAGTGAAGTTATGGATCTTGGAGGAGAATCTGCAACCACTACTTTACTATACCAGCACAATTCCTAACAACAATCTATAAACATTTGTCCTTATACAAACAGGTAAGTGAAGTCTTCATCCATCATCAAGGAAATTTTCCTTTGTAACTGCCAGAGACAACTATAGAAAACTACAACTAATCAAAACACAGAGTTGTGGAGCTCAGTCCCAATACATGCATTTATAAAAGAAGCCCACACCTAAAGTCCAGAGAACACTGTGGAAGAGGGAATGGAAAAATTGTAAGAATCAAAACAGGTAGTTTGGTGTGAGACTGTGTCTCCTGGTAATGTCAGAAGCCACAAACACAGACTCTCATTAACATGACAGCCCAAACATGTGCTGAATGAGGACAATACCAGTGTCCATGCCTACATGGACAGGAAAAGCCCACTCAGCCTTATGCTTACACAGAACTATAGGCAACCGAGGAAAGCTGGGAGTGAGGGAGGTTGCTTCCCCAGGGAAGAGCACAGCAATTAATTATCCAGTTCCAAATGGTCATCCCTGAAACATACAAGTAACGTAATAATGGGGTGGGTTTTATGTTGGTGTGTGTGTGTGTGTGTGTTTGTGCA